CGCTAAGGAATCTGTGCCCGAATGATTTCCACAAATCCCTTCATGGACTTCTCGCATAACATAATTAGCTTGGGAGGCTCCCAAACATTAAGCCAACGAGCCTTGGAAATATTTCTTGTACAATTGGCCTCCTTTGAAACTATACCACGATGCTTTAGCGTGCAGCGCTGGAGATGCCTTGGGATCTTCAGGCAACTTTCCATGCTCGAGGTAATCAATGATCTCATTCCTCCAGTCCCAGACCAAATTAGTCACGTTTACCTCGTAATAATTATCTGCGTCCAGAACTATGTGCATAAGCTGTACGATTGGACTCTCTTCATTTCTGTCGATGAGCCGAGGTTAGCAAATCCGTTCGCTTCTACATTTTCTTCCATCGGGATATGCATAATTGACCACTCCCGGAACCGTGCAAGCAGAGCATGAACCTTCTCTACGTATTGTTGCATGCGCTCCTCTTTGTCTTCGAAGATCCCGTAGACCTAATTTACCACAAGCTAGGAGTCACATTTGATTTCTATGACCTCGGAATCTAGTCCCCAGGCCAATTCGAGTCCTGCAATCAAAGTTTCATACCATGATTCATTGTTAGTTAACGGAACCATTCTTATGGCCTGCCTTAGGATTCCCCCCGAAGGCGTGGTTAGTACTATGCCAAGCCCGGAACCTTTTACATTGGAAGCTTTGTTTGTGAATAGGGTCCAGACTCCTGATGTCGATTCTGACACCATCACTTCTTCTTTGGTTGCCAGAGGCAGCAATCCCGAACTGAAATCGGCTACAAAGTCGGCCAAAACCTATGATTAATCGCAGTCCTAGGTTTATATTCAATGACAAATTCACTCATTTCAATGGCCCATTTGGCCAGCCTACTCGAAAGTTCGGGTTTATGCAGGATATTTCGCAGGGGAAAGGCGGTCACTACAGCTATCGGGTGACATTAAAAATAAGGCCTTAGCTTCCGAGCAGCAACCACAAAGGCTTAGGCCAACTTCTCCAAATGTGGGTAGTGAGTTTCTGCTCCCTTTAAAATTCTACTAACGGAATAAATTGGAGATTGTGTCATCCTCACGGACTAAAATGGTGCTTACCGCTACCTCCAAGACCGCTAAGTAGATTAACAGTTTTTCGCCTTCCTCCCGCTTTGATAATAACAGGGGACTTGACAAGTACCTTTTCAAATCCCTCGAAGTCTTTTGACATTTCGGGGTCCATTCGAAGTTGTTCTTCTTTTTGAGTAACGAAACGAAATGATGGCATTTCTTTGAAGATTGGGAGATGAACCTGCTCAAAGCGGCCAACCTCCTCGTGACCCTTTGAACCTCTTATACGCTTGATAGCTGGTCCGGGATGTCTTTGATGACTTTGATTTTGTCGGGGTTAACCTCAATTCCTCTTTGTGATACCAGGAACTTCCCAGAGCTGACCCCGAACGCACACTTCTCGAGGTTAAGCTTCATGTTATGCTTCCTTAGGATGTCAAAAGTTTCTTGCAAGTGTTTAAGATGATTTCTTGCGTTCAAACTCTTAACAAGCGTATCGCTTATATAGACTTCCATGGTTTTCTCTATTTGTTTTCCAAACATTTTGTTTGCGAGCCACTGATAAGTGGTTCCGGCGTTCGTTAGCCCGAAGGGAATCACATTATAGCAATATGTGCTGAAATTCGTTATGAACGAAGTTTTTTCCTAATATTCCAGGTTCATTTTAATTTGGTTGTACCGGGAGTAAGCATCAAGGAAACTCATCAACTCATGCCCGACCGTTACATCAATCATTTGATCGATATTTAGCAATGAGAACGAGTCCTTTGGACACGCCTTATTCAAGTCCTTATAGTCTATGCACATACAAAATATGTTATTCTTCTTAGGAACTACTACTACGTTAGCTAGCCAGTCCGGATACTTTAACTCTCGAATTGAACCGATATCAAGTAGGCGGGTTACCTCTTCTTTGACGAATTTATTTTTGGCCTCGGCAATAGGATATTTTTTCTGCCTTATTGGAGGTACGTTAGGATCCAGGCTTAGCTTATGTACGGCCACCTCCGGTGGGATACCTGTCATATCCGCATGTGACCATGCAAAACAATCGACGTTAAATTTAAGAAATTCAATAAATCTAGACCTGAGCTCGGGGTGCAGTCCTGTCCCCATGTGGGATTTCCTCTCCAAGAATTTTTCGAAACAATGTGACTTGCTCAAGATCTTCCGCTTTGGACTTCGTTGCAGTAGTATCTTCTAGTACCTGGAAATATTTTGGCACCTGATAAGATTCTGATGCCTCTTCCCCCTAGTTGACTTTGCTTGACTTGAGAGCAGGCGTCGGTTCCTCTAATTGCTATGTCGCATGCTCCTTCCCTCTGCTACTGGAAATCGAAATTGCATTCATCTCTCTTGCTGCCTGTTGGTCACCTCTTATTTGTTTATTTCCCTCGGGAGTTGGGAATTTCAGCAACTGGTGATATGTCAATGGCACAACTTTCATCTCGTGCTACCATGGTCTTCTCAGGATAATGTTATAGCACATATCACCATCCACTACCTCGAAAAGGGTCGTCTTCATCACCCTTTTGGCATTCGTGGGCAGCATGATCTCTCCTCGGGTTGTCACGCTTGCTAGGTTGAACCCGGCGAGGAGTTTTGTGGCCAGAATGATGCTTCCGGTAAGTTTGGCTTGCTCCATTACCCTCCATTGTATAATATTGGCTGAACTCCATGGATCCACCAGAACACGTTTGATCTTAAAATCTATACATTTAAATAAATTACCAATGCATCGTTGTGCGGAAACAACAATCCATCTGCATCTCCTCCGTGAAGGTTACATTGTCTTCAACGACTTCCCAGAGTCTCTTGATGTGGGTTACTGATACCCTTTGTCTTTTTTGCCATCGAGAAAGTAATCCCGTTAATCTCGTTCCCCCTGAAAATCATATTGATCTTTAGGCGTGGGGGATCTTCTCCTGCTTTTGAGGGCTACGAGTTGTCACGAGTGCGACCGTAATTGTTTTTAGACCGGTCACGTAAGAATGCCCTGAGATGGCCATATTTCAGCAGTATCGCCACCTCTTCGCGCAGATGCCAGCAGTCCCCAGTTCGATGACCATTCGTCCCGTGGTATTCGCACCATAAATTAGGATCCCTATGGCTGGGATCTGACCTCATCGGCTTCGAGAAATGTGTTTATTTAATGTTCCTCATAGCTGATACCAACTCTATTATACTAACATTGAAATTGTATTCTAAAAGCCTGGGGTAGGAAACATCTCAAGAACCTAACGTTTCCTTGTCCTATAATGACCTATAACTCCGGCCGCGATCAGTCCCATAGTATTTCGGCATTTCTGGCATTTTAAACCGCTTCGGGATCAATTCTGGCATTGCGCTTGGTTTGTACGACAATTGAGTGTACTTTTTTGAGCCCAGCCCTTTCAGCACCGGTGGCGCGCACGGGATTTGGTCTATACGAGCATTTATATCTCTCATAAACCGTATGAGTTCATTTTTTAAAGGGATCACTCTCGTTGTTGTGAGCGGACCCGCTCTCTCCGGCCCCATAAAAGCCGACCTTGGCCCTCGGGGTGTTGTTGTCGATCCTCTGCATTGTTTCATTTTCGGGAGCACCGAGAGGAGCTGGACCTCGTCCATTCGCGTTATTGGAAATGTCTGATAACGACTGCTTCAGCTCTGCCATAAGTTTATCCTGCCGCGTGAGATGGCCTAGAATATCCTCTTATTGCTCCTGTAGGACCCTTACCGCTTCAATGGCGTGCTCCTCTTCAGCATCATCAGGAGTCGCCTCCCGAACATGTCGCGGTACCACCTGCCGTAGACTGGGGTGGTCTCGTTCCCCTCGCTGCGGTATCACTGATTGAATCCTCGTGTTGAGGCTGATTTCCTTGGGCTTCAAGGTTGTGTGTGTTGTTAACACCATTATCTGCCATTTTTTATGATCTTTTGCTAAGAAAAAATAATCAGAGCACGTTAGTAAAGGAGGCAAGGATCAACTTAATTACACAACTGTCTAAGCCTCACGATGGGCGCAAACTGTTTACCCATGAAACAGTACAGTTGAGTTTATACGTGGTTTATAGACAAGTGAATTAATTTGATCCTAAAATAATAGATGAATTTGATGAAAATATGATACTTAGCCTTGAGAAACGATAAAATATATAGCATAAATAGCAATTCTGGGAGCAAGTCTTCCGGGCACAACATCAATGATACCAATAAACAAGAAGATAAAATTATATTAAGCTTTGAATAGAGTGTAGCGTATGTTTGCCAAAAAAGTCGTGTCCTTTACAATGATAATAGAGTTTACTATTTATAGATGCGTCTAGGGAACAAAGTCCACGGATCAAGCCTATCTTTAATGTCAATTATGAGGGGCATTGAAGAATGTGTAACGGCAAGCAGTGAATGTCATATTCCTTGTAACGGGCAGCGTACTTAATGTTGTAGAATATTCCTTATTAAATGCTACCAGGTAGCAGGCATTTACTTTATCCTTATGAATATCGTTCTCTTCTGTAACAGATGGGATCGTTGCCTTCGGTTTCAACTATCTTGTGTGTTCGGCTCCACGCGTCACTTCTTCATGCGATCATTTGATATAAATATATTTTTCCCTATACAGGTTATCCTTTTTCTAAAAGGATAATATGGTTCTTATCTATATTTGACCCGTTTTTAAAATTTTCGTTATCCAATCCATTTTTGTGAATAATATAGGTGGTTAACTGGTTTCTTCTAACCATTTTCCCACCCCTACTTGTATATCTATGACTTACATGTCGAATGAATATTAAAATTTCTTCAGTATATTTTTGTTGTCGAGGGGCTTTTGAAAATAGCATCTTTATCTCTATAAGATAAGGATAAGTTCTCCGTACACTGACCCCGAGAAAACATTAGGTATGTTGTTAGAGTTGTTATATTTTTGTGCAAATGCCTGTTAATCCAACAAAGCAACAACCTTTGGTTACTAATTACTACCCGCTGCTCCTACCGCCTGCTCTGTAATCACTTTCATTGTTAGGCATTTTCTATTGTACAGGCATTTACTCCTATCTCATTTTTCACTAGCCAGTTGATGAACTAACATTATTGTTTTTGCTATAAATTCCATTTCCATTATCACACTGTCCCTAAAGCACATGCCCCCCTTCCTTGTTCCACGAGATAGCAAACCAAAATGTCAAAGCAGCTCCTACTCTTCTTCTTCATCCTTTTTTCTTTAGCTCTTCCAATTTTCGGCCAAATTACTCCTCCTTCACAATCACCTTCCATCGCATGCAAATCCTCACTTTACCCAAAACTCTGCCGATCCCTTCTCTCTGCATTTCAGCATTCTCCTTCTAACCCAAATGACTACAGCAAGTTCTCTGTGAAGCAATGCCAGAAAAATGCCGGCAAATTATCCAACTTAATCGCACATTTTCTTACAACCCAGAAAGGGAGAGCACTATTTGTTAACACCAAAGAGATTAGTGCTTTAAATGACTGTCACCAGCTCTCTGAACTCACGGTCGATTACTTGGAGTCAATCTCCGCCGAGCTGAAAGCAGCTGACGGGGCCACTACTTCCGATGCTTTAGTTGGAAAGATTCAGACATTGCTGAGTGCGGTGGTGACGAATCAGCAGACGTGTTATGAGGGACTGAAAGAAGCAGGCAGTAGCATGGTGGCGGAATTGCTGGCGCCGCTGAGCAACGCGGCGGAAATCTACAGCGTGTCTCTTGGGTTGGTGGCGCATGCATTGGGACGCGTAAGGAAACCCAGAAAAACTGGTGGATTGTTGGCTGAGCACAGAGGATTGATGGAGGAAGAGTACTGGGCACGAGATTCAAGATTGATGGCTTCCAAGGTAATCCTATGCCTTGTTCAATCCATATATGTTCCCAGTTTAATAGTAGAATTTTTACATTATCTGATACTTTGTATAATGTTAATCGCCATGGTTACTAAAAATAGTTATTTTAAAACAAAATAAATTATTTTTTTTTTCTTTTTACCCTTAGTAATAATTATTGTTCAAGACAAAAATAATACATAAATAGAATAAATACTCAATGAAGAGAGATTATATTTTAAGATACAAATAAGGGTAGAATAGTCTAATTCATTTCCTAATTAATATTTCTTAAGGAGTATATAAAAGAGAAATACGACACATAATATGAGACATAGGGAGTAGTTTAGAAGCTAACCTTATAATTTATAATATGAGAGATTAGTAATCTAAAAATTATAAAATAAGAGAAATTTTTGCAATAGGTTATATTAGACGAGTAGTGTAAAATTTTAATTTTTGAACACTGTGTATACAAGCTAAATGAGTCATTTCTGCCATGCCATATAGCACAAACAAATATTTTTGGTCATTTATTTTTCTGCCTTGGCATTGATTATTCCACCGCCCGCTATTATTGAGTCAACCATTGATAGATCTTTACTGCAACTGCTGTAAGAATTTAATGAACTCTAGTAATGTACTCGGATTTTAAGATAGTACTCATAAATTAAAGCTGTGCTTAGCCAAAGTAACCTTGGGCATAGGATCGAGAAAGGACAGATAAAGACATTAAAGAATATTAGTAGTACTGTGGAATATCTTTCTTGTAGATCTTGTTTGGGATATATGACGGAGAAATTATCTCATTTGAATTAGAAAAATGATCATACAAATATATCTTAAGTTTTATTTATCAATCTTTCATGAAAAAAATCACATTACTAAAATAACATTTATGATGAAAACAAAACACGGTAACTTACTTTTGTCTTCTATTGACTAGTAAATTCGTTGTTCGAGTCACCCAAGAACAAGGTGGGAAGTTCTTGAAGGGAAGGATGTCGAGGGTATATCGAAAACAGACTTTCTACCCCAGGGTAGGGGTAAGGTCTGCGTACACAGTACCCTCCCCAGACCCTACTAATGAGATTATACTGGGTTGTTGTTGTTGTCTATAGAAAAAGATATAGTTGGTAGATCTTGTTTTGGAGAACATATACTGCAATGTGTAACTGATTCTCTTGTCTTCTATTCACAACTGGCTCTAAGGATGGACTGGTAGTTTTGTCTCTTTCTCGTTTTCTATTGATTGGCCTGAGATAGCCACAACCCACTTGATATTAAAAATGAAAACTACAAGTATCATATTAGAACAGTTCTCAGAATTGTAAAAATGGCTGTGTTACTGGCTGCATTTGGAAACGAAAGAAGAAAAGAAACTTGACAAATGTAAAAATTTGCACCCAATTCTTGACTTTATAGTTGACGGAAAATCCTCGCCTAAAAAGGAAAAAAAAAAAAAAAGATTAGTCTGTGTGACTGCGAGTAAATTTCACTTTTGCCCCTATACTTATGGCTTCAAAATCAATAGTGTCTCTACCTTAGCTCCATATTGGATTGCATTCCCAACAAATCTGTCGCAGTTTAATCCCTACATCTTTCTTTCTTTTTCAGAATTTGGTACTTACATCCACTAATAGCCAAAATTGTTGGTTTCATGTAAGGTTGCATGTGGAGAAAAACAATTGGTAAAGGCAAGCAACTCTGACATAACCATCTTCCCGAAAAGCAATTATGATGTTATCTATATATACGTGAACCCTTTAAGATCTAAAATTGATATATAGCTCATTTCCTTTTTATCACGTGTAATCCTAATTTGTTTAAAACAATAAAAATTACAAATTAAGACCGAGAAAAGAAAGTAATTACTCGTGCAAAAAAATTGCTAGATTAATTGTTAAACAAGAGAAAAGGTTTGTCAAAAAATGAAGAAAAAGAAAGAAAAAGGGAAGTAAAATGATGGGATATTTAATCAGTTGACTATCTGATTACAAATTCAGGAACTTCTATGGGAAATTTTGTCCATAGGAATTTCAACAATAGTCAGATTTACAAGTGATCATTCATAAATAGCCACAGTTTCAAAAGTAATCGTAATTTAGCTACTTTTCATGTAAAGATAAATCTGAACGAATACACTGTTCAAAATCCGGAAAATACTCCAGCATAATATACTGGAGTTCCAGCATAAGTATACTGGAACTCCAGCATATTATAATGGAGTTCCAGTATAATATACTAGTCCAGTATAATTTGCTGGAATTTCATATACAGGTGCTCCAATCTCCAGTATATTATGATGGAACTTTCCGCGTGTTGGAGATCCAGCATAATATGCTGGAAGTTCATACACAGGTGCACCGATATCCAGTATATTATGCTGGACCGGTCCCTATTGCAGCAAAATAGTGGCTATTTTTCAATGACTTTGCAAACGCTGGCTATTTTTCAATGACCTGTACGAAAACTGGCTAGGCCGTGCTATTTTAACGACATAAGTTGGGGGTTAAAATAGCACGGTATAGCCAGTTTTCGGACTGGTCATTCAAAAATAGCCAGCATTTACCAAGTCAATGAAAAATAGTCATTATTTTGCTGCAGCAGAGACCGGTCCAGCATAATATACTGGAGTTCGGTGCACCTGTGTATGAACTCCAGCATATTATGCTAGACCAGTATACTTTGCTGGCTCCAGTATAATATACTGGAGACTGGAGCACCGGTGCTCCAAACTCCAGTATATTATGCTGGACTGGTATACTTGCTGGAACTCCAGTATATTATGCTGGAGTTCAAGTGTACTTATGCTGGAACTCCATCATAATATGCTGGCGTATTTTCCGGGTTTTGAACAGTGACTAAATATCGATTACTTTTGAAACTGGGCTATTTTTGAACGAGCAGTTGAAAATCTGGCTATTTTTAAATTTCACCCAAGTTGGGGAGGTCCGACTACATCTAATGGGCCAGTTAAATGTGTACATTCTCATGTCTTGGTCTTTCTTTAGACACTATGGAAGTTGTTGAAGCGTCTTAAGAAAATGCACTCTATATGTATGTATTGCTTGAGCATAAAATTCTAATTATATTCATCTAATTTTATAAGGTAAAACTTGTTTTGGCATAACGTACCATACATTGATTTTTTTGAAAATGTAATAAAGATTATGTTAAAGAAAATTTTTTTGGTTCATTTTGTTAAAGAATAGAACCAAGAGACCAGTGCAGTGATGAATTGTACAACCATTTTAGGTACAACCTTTTTGTATGCACTGATGTAGCATAAATTACGATTAATTCTTGTGACTCATCATAACTTTGTATCAAATTAAATAATTTATATGAGGGAGGCGCTAAATTAGTGTGTAAGAAGAAATTGCATGTTTTTAGCACTAG